TGTTATGGGCTGAATTACATGCCCCCCATTCATATGTTAAAGCCCTAATTTCCAGTACCTCAGAATGAGACTGTATTTGGAGATAGGGCCTTGAAGGAAGTTACTACATTCGAATGAGGCCGGTAGGGTGCCTGGACCCAGTCTGACTGGTGTCTTTATAGGAAGAGGAGATTAGGACACAGAGAGAGACAGCAGGGGCAGAAGCGTGCGGAGGAACGACCATGTACAGAGCAAACAAGGAGGCACCTTTCTTCAAGCCAAGCAGAGGCCTCAGAAGAAATCAGTCCTGCTGACACCTTGATCTTGGACTTCCAGCCTCTAGAGCTGTGAGGAGATAAATTTCTGTTTAAGTCACCCAGTCTGTGGTATGTTGTGATGGCGGTCTTTGCAAATTATTGTGTGGCTATAAATATTTTGGATATAAGTGTGGCCATGTGTTTTATTATCAGTGAATACACAGGAGTTGGATTGCTGGATCCTATGGTAGGTGTATATTTAACTTTCAAAGAAACTACCAACTGTTATCCAACGTGGCTGTACCATTTTGCATTTTTTTTTTTTTAAGATTTTATTTATTTATTTGAGACAGAGAGAATGAGAGGGAGGAGGGTCAGGGGGAGAAGCAGACTCCCCGCTGAGCAGGGACCCCGATGTGGGACTAGATCCCGGGACTCCAGGATCATGACCTGAGCCAAAGGCAGTCACTTAACCAACTGAGCTACCCAGGCGCCCCCATTTTACATTCTTATTAGCAATGGATGAGAGCTCGTTTCTCTACATCTTAGACAACACTTGGAACAGTCTTTTAAATATTAGCCATTCAAATTTGTACCTAACACAACACATTCACATGTCCTACCCACATTTATGGGGCAGGGATTATTCAGATATTATAAGAGGTGGGTGGGAATCTTGGGGCCGTCTTAGAATTTTGCCTCCTACGATGACTGTGTGGAGGCATCTCATGTGGTTTTAATTCATATTTCCCTCGACTACTGATGTCTACTTTTTCAGGTAGTTGTCATCTGTATATCTTCTTTGGCGGAGTGTCTGTCGAAATCCTTCCCTTTTTTAAAAAAATTGAATTGTTTGCCTCCTTACTGAGTTCTGGAATGCTTTATATATTCTGGATAAAAGTCTTGTCTATCAGGTGTTTGCCCTGCAATATTTTCTCCTAGTCTGTGGTTTGATTTTTCATTTCTTAGCAGCATCTTTTGAAAAGCAAATATTAAAATTTTGATGAAGCCCAATTTATCTTTTTTTTTTCTTTTGTACCTTGTATTTTTTGTGTTCTTTGGTGTTCTAAGAATTTTTTGCCTAACCAAAGGTCACAGAGATTTTCTTCTGGAAGTTTTATCTTTTACATTTAGGTCTCTGATCAAACTTGAATTAATTATTTTATATCATATTGATTTATATCGTATTGATGGTAAAAGATTTTTTTGTTTTATATATGAATGTCCAGTTGTACCAACATCAGTTACTGAAAGCTTATCCTTTCTCTATAGAATTACTGTGTTGTCTATGTCAAAAATCAATCAACAGTATTTTTAACAAATGGTGGTAGAACTAAATATCCACATGCAAAAAAAAATGAATCACAAAAGTTAACTCAAAATTATCATACACCTAAATGTAAAATGCAAAACTATAATATCACCAGAGGATAACAAAGGAAAAAATGTAGGTAGCCTTGAGCATGGCAATAACTTTGTGTGTGTGGCAACTTTTTAGATGTAACACCAAAGGCACACTTCATGGAAAAAAAATAATTGGTAAGTTGGACTTCATTAAAATTAAAAACTTCTTCAAAAAGACACTGTCAAAAGAATAAGAAGAGAAGCCACAGACTGGGAGAAAATATGTGCAAAGGACATATCTGATAAAGGACTGCTATCCAAAATATACAAAAAGCTTTTAAAACTCAACAATAAAATAAACAACTTGGGCAAAATATCTGGACAACTCACCAAAGAAGATATACAGGTGGCAAATAAAAGATCCGCCACATCATATGTAATCAGGGAATTGTAAATTGAAAAATCAATGAGAAGCCACTACACACCTGTTGGAACGGCCAAAATACAAAACACAACACCAAATGCTGGTGAGGATGTTAAGCCAACAGGAACTCTCATTCACTGAGGCTTGTAACTTGCATTTCCCTAATGAATAACAAGATTGAGGATCCATATCATGGGCTTATTGGCCATCTGTACATTTTGTTTTGTGAACTATCTATCCAAATCATTTGCCTATTAAAACAATGGCTCACTATTGAGTTGTACACGTGTGTTATACATTCTGGATCCAAGCCCTTCATCATTTATCACTTAAACACTTACCTGAATGTTTTGCATATATTTTTCCCCAACCTGTCACTTGCCCTTTAATTATCTTAAGTTCTTAAGCATCTTTTGAGATTTTTTCTTTAGTCTTTGATGAAATCCAATTTATCATTTTTAAAATTTTTTTTTTTTAAGATTGTATTTATTTATTTGACACAGAGAGAGCCAGAGAGCAAGCACAAGCAGGGGAAACGGCCGGCAGGGGAGAGGCAGGCTCCCTGCTGAGCAACGAGCCCAACATGGGGCTCCATCCCAGGACCCTGGGATCATGACGAGAGCCGAAGGACTGAGCCACCCAGATGCCCCCCATTTTTTTCTTTATAGTTTATGCTTTTTGTGCTCTAAGAATTTTTTGCTTAACCTAAAGTTACAAAGCGTTTTCTCCTAGTTTTTCTTCTAGAAGTTTGACAGTTTTAATCGTTATGTTTAGGTCTTCATCCATTTTGAGTTTTGTCCATTATGCTGTGTAGGGTCTGAGTTCCTTTAGTAGCATGTGAATATCCACTTTTTCCAGCGCCATTTGTTAAGGACGATCTGGTCCTTGGCACCTCTGTCAAAGTCAGCTGATTATGTATATATGCTGGTACATTTTTCTGGACTCTATCTAGCTTTATAGTAAGTCTTGTAACCAGGTAGTGTTAAGTCCTCTAACTTTGTTCTCCTTCACAACTGTTTTGGATATTTTGCATCTTTTGTAGTCTATATAAATTTTAGAATCAGCTTGTCATTTTTACAAAACTGCTCACTGAGATTTTGACTGGGATGGCGTTAAATATATAAGTCAATTTGGAAGACTTTGCATCTGAAAAATGTGGATTTTTCTGTTATAGAATGTGTTGTTTTTATTGTATTTTTTGTTAAATTTATCTCTAAAAATTTCACTTTTTAACCCTTCCGAATGGTATTTATATTTCAAGTTCAATAAACCAGAATACTTATTAATAAGTAGAATTATAATTTATTATATTTGTGTCCTTTGGCTTTGGTAAACTTATTATTTGCAGTAGATTTACAGTAGATTCTTCAGCATTTTTTCATAATCATCACATCAGATATGAATATAGTTTTTCCTTTTCAAATCTATGCTTTTCTTTCTTTCTTGACTTGTACTGGCTAGAACCTCCAGGGCAATACTGAATAGAAGTCAAGGTCGGATATCCTTGTTCTAGACCTGATCTTAGTGACAAACCATTCAGTCTTTCACTACTAAATATGCTAATGGTAGGGTTTTTCAATATGTCTTTTATAGGTTGATGAAATTCTCTTATATTACTAGTTGGCAGAAATTTAATCCATGAATGCATCCTAATTTTGTCATGTTTATTCTGCGTCTATTGAGATAATCATATAGGTCTTTTTAAATCTGATAATAAGATTTATTGATTTCTAATAAATTCTAACCTACACTTTAACTTTTCACCTGGTTTAGTTTTTCGGAAGTTTCTTTTCCCACTTTAAAAATTCAGGCAATATTTACATAAGATGTCCCTTTTTAGTACCATGAGTTCTGACAAATGTATAGTCATATAACCACACCCACAATGAAGATATGAAATGGTTACATCACACCCCCAACTTCTCCATGTTCCTTTTGCAGCTAACTCCTCCCCCTACATTCTAACCCGCTAACTACTGATGTTTTCTATTCCTTTAGTTTTGTGCTTATAAGAATGTCTTATGTAGCCTTTTGTAGCTGCCTTTAGGATAAGGCACAGGAGATTCATCCCTGTTGTTACATCTATCAATAGTTTGCTTCTTTTTATTGCTGAATATTCCATTGGAATATTGTCTGTAAGCTTTAGGAGCAGGCAAGTTTGAGTCAGTTAGCTATAGAACCATTTCAGGCTTAAATCAACTCTGCAATACGACATGACTGAGACATTAGGCTCTGGGATCTCAAATGAGTACTTGTACATTACCTAGCACTGGCTGATGAGAAAAATACGGAACCTTTTCTCAGGTCCCACTGTGCCCTTTGTGAAAATTGGGGCTGCAGGGGAGGTGGGTGGGGGGTGTGGTAATTGGGTGATGGGCATTAAGGAGGGCACTGGATGTAATGAGCACTGGGTGTTATAGGTAAGTGACGAATCGCTAAATTCTATCCCTGAAACTAATAATACACTCTATGTTAACTAACTTGAATTTAAATAAACTCTAAAAAAAAGAGAGAGAGTGGTAGATCGGGTAAGAGGAAAGCTCTGACCTACTGGAAAAGCTAGAGAGTTACACAAGAAAAAAAGGCAGATGCTGAAGATGAGGAGACACTCGGAGAGTCAAAAGCCAATGAGCACTGGCTAAGAGAGGGAGTTTGGAAGTTTATGAACAAGAGAAAAGAGAAAGAAATTTGGATTAGCTGCTGTGTTATGGCAAGGGAGGCTTCCGAGATGAGGAGAGACGTCTGAAACAAAGTGTTGTCCTTTGTGATGAATATCGTGTCAATCTGTGTGTGTTCTAAGATGCTTAAGTAAAATGTAAACATTTTTTCCTTTATTTTTTTAAAGATTTTATTTATTCATTTGACAGAGAGACACAGCCAGAGAGGGAACACAAGCAGGGGGAGTGGGAGAGGGAGAAGCAGGCTTCCCGTGGAGCAGGGAGCCCGGCGTGGGGCTCGATCCCAGGACCCTGGGATCATGACCTGAGCCGAAGGCAGACGCTTAACAACTTAACCACCCAGGTGCCTCCATTTTTTCCTTTAAAAACAAGAAAGAAAAGCTTTTATTTGAGACACAATGTGAACTTAGATCCTAGAGTATGACTGCTTTCATGTCTGTGGTGTTCAAGGCTCTGTCAGGACACTCAGTATGTGAAAGAGATGGTCTCACACAGAAACTGCTCGTTTCTCTAAGTCTTTTCTACTCTAGCATTCTCACATTTCCCCCAGATTAGGTTAGATTACTGGAAAGAAATGTACCTCATGTCTCATGAGAGGGAACTGAATAACTGAATTAAATATAAATTATGTGTTGCAGATTTCTCATGGAAATCACTGGATAGGACCTTTTGAAGAAAGATTTATTTTTCCAAGACTACAGTTTGAAGTACTTAGATTTTTAATAAGCAATAGTCTTATAAATTCACCGAAAATCTTTTCTGTAGATACATCATCAAGAAAAGTCTGTCCAGACGGCTTCCTGCTTTCTCCATCGGTGTTCAGCCAGGAAGCCCAATGCCGTAATAGGTACTCATTAGCAGTACCTGACAGCATCCCCACAAACACAGGTCTAAATCTCTTTTTTTTAATTTGGAGAGGGGTGTGTTTCATTTATTTGCCCCACTAAATATGCGCCACTCAATTCCTAAACACACACGCACACACACAATGCCTCTTGTCTTGGGTCAAGTACTTTTATGTCTATACATTATTTTCATTGTCCTTCAAAAAGAATTGCAAAGCTGCCAAAATGAACTCAGCAGTATGTCCACTTCAAGACAATAGATTCCTCTTTAACCCAGCTGTCTACATGTAGGGTAAATTATCATTTATCCATCACTTTAATAGAGAGGCCGGAGGCAGAAGGGACAGAGGGACAGCAGGAGAAATAAGGGTGATGGTCCTATCTATATTATGCCTAAGTGAGCAGGACATGGAACATGGGTGGTGGTGTTCTCTTTTTTAAAGACCGAAATCAGAAAGTAAAAAACACAAAACTTAAGTGTTCAAGGGTATTAATTTTTTAATATACCTCTATGATCACCACCCCTATCAGTTTAGAACATTTCTAGCACCCTAGAAAAAAATCATGTTTGCCTGTAATTTAAAAAAAAAAAAATGGTTAAAGCCACTGGGATAAACATTATTCAAAGTATTCTAGCAAACCATACCACCAATCCTTCGATAGCTCAGTTGGTAGAGCGGAGGACTGTAGATGTTCAGACATGGTCATCCTTAGGTCGCTGGTTCGAATCCGGCTCGAAGGACTTAGCCTTTTGACAGGTTTTTCACTGAGGCCGCTTGCGTGGACCCTTAGCGCAGATAAGAAAACTTGAACAGTTGGGCACCTTGTCGTTTGTGCTCACAGATGAACTTGTAAGACTGAAAATAATAATAAGAAATAAATAAATAAATAAACGATCCGCAGGTACATACACAAGAAGCTGCGCATGTAAGACGGGGTCTCCAGGGAGACTGACTTTTCATGGAGTTTGGGCAAGGATCATGGGGCGCGTGGAGAACGGGAAGGACCTCTTGGCCCAAGGTTTTCATTTTATTTTGGAGGTCCCATGGCCTTTCTGTTATGTTGATGTTTAAGTGAATAAACATTTTATTAATGGGAATTTCAAATACACACAAAGTAGAGAAAACAGCGTAAATGACCACCAGAGGCCTCGCACCTGTAGACTGGCATCCTCTATCCCCCCACATGCCCCCTTCCACCCCCGACCTCTTGAAGCAATACCGAGATGCGCTCTCCTCTCATCCATCGTTGCTCCGTGTTTTGAAGACAGGAATTCAGTTCCTCTTACCGCCCCCTCCCGCCTCCAAAAAAGGCAGCGGCGGGCAACTGACAGAAAGTTCCCTTCCATAAAATTACCGAAACTGGTGTAAGAACTCGAGGAGGCTGGTTTCTCGGCTCTTTCGCCCTCTCCACGGAAGAGCGTGGCGCCCTGTTCCGGCAGAACTAAACTGGGGCGCCTGCCTGGCAGGAGATGTCACCTCGGATGGTAGCTGTGGACCCCTCGCCCGGTTTCTGTGCGCACCCGCCCGTTCCAGCGGGATAGGAAAGCCTGTCCCGCTGCAGCGAGGGCGGGCTTACGCTATGCTCACACTCGTCCGGGCCCCTTCCACAAAGCCGGCTGCACGGCGGCTCCGCATTCGCGGCGGCTGGTCTTTGCAGTCGGCCCAGCAGCAGGTGCGCGCGGGAGGAACGGCGGCGCCAAGAGCGCGCGGACGGCGCCCCCTGCCGGGCGGTCCC